GGAGGAGTATCCGTAGACGTCCTTGCTGCGGAGGATGACCGGGGAGAACTCGTGCTTGAGGCTGCAGAGGAAGTTCCACAGCTCCGAGTCCGAGCTCATAAACTCAGTGGACTTGGGCATGAAGAGCTTGAGGGCGTCGCCCAGCGCCTTGGTGCCAGCGAAGGAGACCTGCGAGCGCGAGTACACAACTTTCTCCGCTTCCCCCTCCAGCCCCCAGGCGGCGGCCGCCGTTTCGCCGCCAGCTGCCCCTGCCGCCGCCGCCCGGGCTCCCGCGGCCGCCGCCGCGGCGCTCCCCGCCTCTGGGTTCATCTTCCCGGCTCCTCTCTCCAGTGCCGCCTGCTTCCTACTGCGGGTCATGGAGGCAGAGGAACGGGGTGGCGGGACAGACGCCGAGAAGGCAGCGCGGACGCAGCGCCGAGGACAGGCTCCGGCCGCCGCCGGGCGCCCGCCGGGTGTGAGCGACGATCGATGTCCTGCGCCCAGCACAAAATGGCGCTTTAAAGTCCCGGGCGGGGCCTGCGCGCGCCCGCCCCCCCCGCGCCGCCCGTTGGCCCGTTCGAAACGCGTCGGGCGGGCCCGGCCCCGCCCCGTCGGGGGCGGTGGCCGCGGGGGGCGGCGGGGGGGCCCCGGAGCCTCGGGCCCCCCCAAGGGAGGTCCCGCGGAGCTCGGCCAGCCCGGACCCCAGCGCGACGCCGAGCCCCGAGACCCCCATCCCCAGTAGGGTGTCCCAGCTGGCGGCCCCTTCCCGCAGGGGAAGGGCGTGACAGTCCCGCGTGGCGGGGCGAGCTCTGAGCCGTGTGCCGGCGTCGCGCCTCGCTTCGAGGGTGAGGATCCTCACAGGGAGGTCGACGAAGGTGGTTTGGTGACTGGAATATGTTTGAGTAAGGGTCTGGTTGGACACTTTGATGGGCAAGCTCCCCGGAGGAGGAACCATGAATATACTGAGTGAAATGACAAAAATAGGTCAAGAGACGTGATACAGTGAAGTCCTTCACATGATATTAAATACATCCGTCCTGTTGCAGTGGGTTTTTTTAACATGAACCTGTAGGTCGGTCAGTCAACAACATCATAAGTCACAGAATCACAGAACAGTCAAAGTTGGAAGGAACCTCTGGAGGTACCTGGTCCAACCTTTCTGCTCAAGTAGGGTCACCTAAAGCAGGTTATCCAGGATCATGTCTAGATGGGTTTTGAATATCTCCAAGGATGGAGGCTCCTCTCTCTGATGACAACTAATAGGACTCGAGAAATCGGAATGAAGCTGCATCAGGGGAAGTTCAGATTTGACATCAAGAAAAAGTTCTCTGAGAGTGTAGTTGGTCACTGGAACAGGCTCCCCAGCAAAACGATCACAGCACCAACCCTGTCAGAGTTCAAGGAGCATCTCAGTTATAGTCTTTCTCATATGGTTTAGTTTTAGGTATTCCTGTGAGGAGCAGAGAGTTGGACTCTGATCTTTGTGGGTGCTTTCAATCTCTCTGGGCAACCTGTGCCAGGGCTCGGTCACCCTCACAGTAAAAAGGTGTTTCCTGATGTTTGGAAGGAACTTTCTGTATTTCGGTTTGTGCCTATTGCCTCTGGTCCTGTCACTGGGCACCATAAGAAGAGTTCAGCTCCACCCTTTCTGCTCCTTCCCTTCAGGTATCTGTGTACACTGGTGAGATCCCCTGTGTCTTCTCCAGGCTGAACAGTCCCAGCTCGCTCAGCCTTTCCTCACAGGAGAGATACTCCAGCCTCTTCATCATCTTTGCGGCCCTTTGTTGGACTCTCTCTCCGGTGTGTCTGCGTTTCTCTTGTACCGAGAAACCCAGAACTGGACTCCAGGTGTGGCCTCACCAGCACTGAATAAAGTGGAAAGATCACCTCCCTCAAGCTGCAAGCAATACTTTGCGTAATGCAGCCCAGGATACTTTTCCCCTTCTTTGTGGCAAGGGCACATTGCTGGCTCATGTTCAACCTGGTGTCCACCAAGACCCCCAGGTCCTTTTCTCCCAAGCTGCTTTCTGTCAAGACTGAAATATTTACAGCATCAGTGGAATTGGCTTGATATCCCAACAAAGCACGTCCCAAATGAAGCAATAAAAACTTGCACTGGTTGAGCCCTCTGAGAGTCACCACCTCTCTGAATCCACATCAGCATTTCTTCCTGCATAGCACTGCTACAGTTGCACAATTTTGTCAGTTGTTGTGAAATCCCATCCCTCTAGATCATGCTTTCCAATACTTCAGAGATTACTGTCATAGGGAGACTGTCCTGTTAGGTTCTTGGATTGTTGCAATTAAACCAGAGCTCTTTCCAGCACCCAGAACAGCAAGGTGTCAGGAAGGACAGCGATGGTTTAACCTTTCACCACAAATCCTGCTGAGGGTTTGATTAGACCCCTAACTAATTAGTTTCTCTCAGCATTGGTAAAGGGTGAGGAATAACATTTTTCTTTATAGACAGTCTTTGTTCTGTAATTAATCTTTCAGTTTAGGATAGGGAAATCTTTTATTCTCAACTCATCAAGAACTTAAATTGGAATGTCTAGAAATCCAGGCAAGTAGAAGGCAGAAATTCTGCATAAGAAATTATTCCTTACTGCCAGTGGAAATAATTAATTTTCTTCACAGTATAATTCAACCTGTGTTCATGGGAAACTCAAGAATATTAATCCAAATAACCATTTAGAGTGGATATTAACAAAGATATTTTAAATCTTCATGGGGACAATCTCGAGGTACAGCCGTGTTCTAAATAAGCTTTATAAATGACCTATTTTTTAAAAGGAAACCTTTCCCAAAATGATGGTGTTAGTGCCATTTTTAATCAGATTCATTTCACAGCATACAGTGCTGTAAAGCACAGTCATGTAGCCAGATTGGTTTAACTGAGGGAGATGTCCTATGAAGCAGAGAATAAAAGCCCAGAGCTGAAAGTGTTAGGGACAGGCATCTCTTCATCCAGCCATGCTGCTGTTAGTCACACTCTGGTGTATGAGGGTCGCAGCCACGGGGTCACCACAGCTTAGGAAGTGGTTCATCACTTGGACCACAAGAGCTGACCTGTGCTCACGTTCTCAGTGGCAGGAGCTATCAAACTATCTGATTCAGCAGCTCACCTGACAAGAGGGCCCTCATTAAACTGCAGAAATCCAGTTGCCCATTGGCCATAACCTTTTTTCCAGAAATCACAAACATTTATGGCATATGACTCAAAAATCATGGAGACAGAGACAGGGATTTTTCAGCAAGCAGTAAATGAGTCATTATAACTATAAGTGAAAAGAGAGATCAGCACATTTTTGTCTTAATCAGAATTTATTCATTATTTGGATTTTTCTGCTTCCAGAATGGACAATACCATTTTAAGGCATGGGATATAATCTCACTTTTACAACTTCATTATGAGTTTTCTGCAGTGTAACACTCTCGTTTTAATACGCTACAAAGTCAACTCAAGAAAATCCACAGTAATTGGCTATCTTTTAGTAATTTCCAATAGCTCAGTACAGCAATAACGATGATAATAAAATTAATAATCCTTTGGAAGTGCATAGCTCTTCATTTCAATCATACTACATCTTATAAGCATTAATTATCACTCACAGTACTCATGAGTTATATAAGTAAATATTGCCTTTCCTTAATAGATGAATAAAATGAAAAAGTGGATCAAAATGGCTTGACTAAGATGTGTAGACTCAATTACTTAATTTTCTGTAGATCTTCTAACAATCATTATTCTAAAAATACAGGAAATGTCTACATTGGAAAGAGAGGAGTAAAAAAAAAAACCCTGTAATCTTTGTTCTCAAATATTTGTTAGAATTTCTTTTCTTTATAGAATTCTTGAGAATGATGAGTGAAGTAGCAATTGAGATATTGGTACATTAATTGCTACACAACAAGGACACTATTTTTTTAAAAAATTCCTTTCTAGTACCACAAAAACTCACAGGTAACTGATAATTATTTTAAATGCTAACAATCTTATGATCCCACCATTTTGAGTCCTGTTGATGAATCCTAAAATTCTAGATATTAAGTCACACCCCTTATGCTGCTGGGACTTTTCCTCCAGCATACTCATGCTCTTCTACCCAGATCAGCAAGAACAGGCTTACTGTCCAATGTCTTTTTCTAATATCTTTACCTCTGCTGTTGAGAGGATGCATTAACTGGCAGCCTGCTTCAGTTAATTTGATTCCTAAATGTCTTTAGCATACTTTCAGGAAAGTTTGCATGGCAGTGCAAACACGACTCCACATCCATTAGCAACTAAACTTCAGATGTTACCCAATAGTCATCAGGTTCCTGTGTCTGAGAAGTGCTCAGACAAGCACTGGCAAAATTCCTGAAAATACTTTAAAAAACAGACAAAAGCAAATAATTTACAAGAATAGTTTCTCAAGCAGTTATTTGAGGGAAAAAAATGCAGAATCACTGTGTGTAGAAATCACAGCTGCAGTCAAAAAGGGAAATAGGGTATTAGGAATCACTGTGGAAGGGATAGAAAGCAAAACAGAAGAGAGCATTCTGCTGAATGCAAGTCCATTGTGCCTCCAGGAATCTTGAATACCGTGCATTTCTAGTCTTACCATCTCTAAATAAATATAGCAATGATACAAAGAAGGGCAACTGGGATGAGTAGAAATATGGAACAGCTTCTCTATGAGAAGAGATTAAATAGGCTAAGACTCTTCAGCTTGAAAAAAACAGATGGCTGAGGATGAATATGATAAAGGTTTATAAAACTGATAGTACAAAGAAGGCAGATAAGAAATTATTATGTCTTAGTTTTCATGATCTAAGAATGACAGAGAAGCAGATGAAGCTATAAAGCAGAAAACTAAATGACCAAAAAGACATGCTTTTTTTTTTTTTTTTTTCTGATGACTCATAATTCCTCTGTGGAACTCATTTTCCAGAGAAGTTGTGGGTCCCAAAATGGAAAAATGTACCCTAGTACATTTACAGGCATTACAGAGCACACCATTCAAAATGATTAGACATGACTGGAAGAAAAAAGCCCACCAATAACCGTTACACATGAAAACCTTGGGCTCGGAAAGGGCATAAGCCAACAGCTAGGAAAGGAAGGAAGAATATATCTAGGGAAGTAACTCTCAATGTTTCCAATATTCTCACATACTTTCCCTAACCTTCCTCTTCTGGCCTCTAACAGACACAGAAGCTGGACTAGGTGGACCCTGGAACTGGGCATCAAAGCTGGTTGTACTCTATGGACCTGTTAGAATATGGAAGAGGGCATCCATATCAATTAAGTATAGTATTTCTCTCCCAAAGCTTTAGTGTTTCATCAGCTTGCAGCACCTAAAGAACATATTCTTGAGACAAAAAGTAACAAAGCATTTGCAGAGAAAGAAATGCAGAGGTTACAAAATCCACCAGCAGTCAAGAACCACACTCTGGCAGGGGCACAGCAAGAACTGAGCCTGAGGTAAAGTGTATTCCACTGGCTCTGATCATTACATACAC